TAACACATTATTACTTATTACCAACCGAGCCACAATTAAATCTATACGAAGACCATTCAGAAGAGGATTTTGCAAGTGCAAATTGAAACACACACACGCACGCACACACGCACAAACACACACACGCACACACACACACAAACATACACAGAGAATGTATACGTATGTACTGTGTAGATAGAAATGATTGATTTTATTTGGTTCTTACTATAAATTATATGTGTGTGCTTGTGTATGTGTGTGTGTGTTAGTTGTGTGTTTGTGTGTGTGTGTGTTGTGTGTGTGTGTGTGCGTGTGAAGTTAAACTCCATTTAATTCAGCGGAGATATTGTTTATAGTGTGTCCAGGGTATAAAAAACCAACAACAACAACAACATCAGCATCATCAACAACAACATCATCAACAACAACAACATCAACAGCAACATCATCAACATCATCAACAACAACATCAACAACAACATCAACATTAGCATCATCATATAATTTCAAAGTATGAATTACTAGGTAGTAAGAATTTTACTGCAGTATTTGCTGAGTAATGAAAATAGGGGTAGCGTATGTCTAACATCTATTTTTAGAACATTCTCCTTATCATCATCATCATCATCATCATCATCATCTGCAACAACAACAACAACATCTTTTGCAACAACAACAACATCATTCTCATTTGAGACGACAATAACAACATCTGCAACAACAACAACATCTTCAACAAACAAGCATCAAACCTATTCAGCAATGGAAACAAACCAAAAAAACACAAACATACAAAGAACAAACAAACACACATAAACAACAACAACAAAAAACAAATAAAGATATCCAGCAATAAAAACAAACCTACAAACAAAACAAACACAAAAATACAACACAAACATGCAAAACAAACACAAACATACAACACAAACAAAACAAACAAAAACATACAACACAAACATACAGCACAAACATACAACAACAACAACAAAAAAAAAACATCCAGAAAACAATGGTTGCTCGTGACAACGCCAAATAAATAATTGAATACTCAGAAGGAATTTTTTTATACGCCAACAGTCTTCATCACTCAGACCAGTAAAGCTACTGTAACCTTGTAATTTCTACCCATACTGATATATAGTATCATTTGTCACATAGTATCGTTTATTATATAGTATCATGATACCCTCTATACTATTAAATGATTGAATGATATCGCGTCGTCATCGGCTCCATCTGCAAGTGATATGAAATCAAAATTACTAAGACCTCGCAATTTATACTATCAATCACGCTGATGATACTATATCTTGTAAACTACGATATTATATCGTTTGTAGTGTATCATTTGTACAAATTTAAATATAGAAAAATAATTTATTTTTTAATGAAAAACAAGCCATTTGAAAAAAGCAATAGGCGAGTTGCCTATTCAACAATTTCTTATTGAAATAACACTCACGGAGTTGGAAAACTTGGATAAAGGGGTGGAATGACTGGAAGAATGCGGATCAACAACACTAGAAAGGGGAAGATACAGAAAAGATCTGATTCAGACATAAAAATTAATAACTGGGAAAGAAGAAACACCGTTCACCAGGTTCTTTCAACTAGAAAATAGGAAAGAATTAAGAGGTCACAGATACAAGCTCTTCAAGAAGACAGAAAATCCATTAAAGCAAAGATTCTTCAGCAGCAAGGTGATAAACGCTTGGAACCTCAATTATCGCTTGGTCTGACTCTATGTGTCTTAAACTTAATCTTTTAAATTTGAATTAATTTGATTTAATAAATTTAAATACTCTATTATTATTCCTCATATTACCTTACCTGATTCTAAAACTCTTGATGTCTCTCATAAGTTTCGTAGCCTAGGCTTTATCTTTGATTCTAGCATGTTTCTTCCTTCTCAGATTAATAGTGTTGCTAGAAGTTCTTACTTTCAACTACGCAGAATGAAAAAACTTTTGCCTTTTCTTGACGATCCTACTCTTCTCCTCCTTGTTACTTCTTTAGTCTTATATAGGATTGATTATTGTAACTCGCTCTACTATGGTCTTCCTGACTCTATAATCTATCCTTTAAGTAAAGCTTTTAACTCTGCTGCTCGTCTAGTTGCTCGTGTACCTTTCTTTTCTCATATATCTCCATATCTTGTTCTCTTGTACTGGTTACCTATAAGATATAGAATAATTTTAAAAATTTGCACATTTAAGTATAAGTCTCTAAATTATTTCCTAAGTATTTATCAGATATATTGATTGAGCTTAAACGCCCCGGTTTACGATCGTCTTCTTGTTGTCAATTCTTCTTAACTCGTGTTAAACACTCTTTTGCCAAATCTGCATTTGCTTTTTCTGGCCCTTTTCTCTGGAACTCTCTACCTCCTCCTTCTGATACTTCTCCATCACTTGCGAAGTTCAGAGCGGATCTCAAGACCCATCTGTTTTCAAAATTCATTGAGGAGCGCTGTTGAACATCGCGGAAATAGCGCTTTATAAACTAACTTTCTGAT